CAAGCACCTACTCGGCTACGTGAAACAGCCTGATTGAGATGGTGGGTCTGAAGACTAGAGTAAAGACAGCGGCAGCGATATGTCTGACGCCAACGATGAACCGCATGCCAACGCTACCAAGAACGTCGAAATCGACTCCGATGCTGTGGACTATAACGAGAGCGACGACGAGCTCAATCCGCCCTCGGACTCGGAGAAAGACTCTGGAGCCAGTTCCGATACGTCAATCAAGACGAACGACTTCCCGGTTGTTCGACCATTTAACCACCGCGAGGCTCGCCGTGCACGCAAACGCGCCAAGAACGAGAAGACCCATCCTCTTAGCCAGTGCGAACGCCGTCGACAAGGAGCCAAGATCAAAGCCTTCTTGATGAAAACGATGGACAACATGCACGTGCAGCTGGTCAAGAATCTCACGACTTCCTACGAGGTATTCAACTACATCTGCCAGAAGTACGAGGGGGTAGCCTTTGATAATGATCTGTACTTCATTGAACACTACTTGATGAAGATCAAGTATGAAAAAGGCTCCGACTTGACCGAGCTCTTTCTCAAGCTTGAGAACGCGGTGAAAGCCGAGTCAGAAGCCACCGAATCGGTGATGCCCGAGGGACATAAGTCTAGCTACCTGCTCCACTCGATGCCCAAGTCGTGGAAGGACGTTCTCCGCATCTGGAAGGGCCAGCGAAACTATATCCTGTAGGAAGACCTAAAGCAGAGCATTGGAGACAAGGTTCGCAATCTTTAAGCTCAAGAGCGCTAACCTTGGCCAAGGGCACACCAGAGACCTCTGCAATCAAGGGTATGAGAGCCCTAGTGGCTACCGTACCTCCTGTGTCACACGCTCAAGGCCGTGTTAACGCCAATGTCTGCTCCTACTGTGATCGCCCACGCCACAACATTCGTCAATACAGAAGCCTTCAAAACGATTTGCGAGATGGACGAGTGAAGGCTGGGACAGTGCTTCCTGCTAACTTCGCCTTCAAGGGTAACTCGAAACGCGATCACCCGTACCAAAACGTGAACATAGGCGGCAATCGATGCCAAGGCAAGAATAGCAACAGCCGCGACTTCAAGGGCAATAGCGGTAGTAACAAGAACAAGCATGGAAATGGCGGCAAACAACGCGGCCAAGATCGCGACAAGGACCGCCCTCTTGAGCCAGACAATGATGAGGAAGATGACGACGACAGTGATTCCGATAATAATCGCAAGGTAACTTGCTAAGGACGTCGTGACACCGGTCTTATTGCTGTTGCTACGACCGTCAATCTCCCGTTTAGCCTCACTGCTCAAGCCAAGGTAGAGCCCGACCCCACCCGGACGATCGACGCTGGCTGCACTCGCCACGTCACCCATGAATCTCAGTAGTTAACCGACATCACCTCCGGTGGTGGCTCGATTACGGTTCGTAGTAAGCACCAAATCCCCATCGAAGGAATCGGACGGGTCGATCTGGAAGTCACTGACTCCAAGGGCACTATGCAGAAGCTTATCCTTCATGGTGTCATGTATGCTCCCCAGCTCCAATTCCGTCTGCTATTAATTCCAGCAGCTGTGAAGCACAACTTTCGCTTCGACTTTGACCGCAAACGGTGCTATATGCAAACTGACCGGCGCTTTAAGATCAAAGTGCTCATGGCTACCAACACGGACCTGTATCAGTTCCAAGACAAACCTGCAGCACCTCCAGCGGCTCTTATTGCCTCAGGAAAGCAACGTTCCTTTTTGCTCTTACATAAACGCCTTGGACTCTAACGATCCTGTCCTGAATGACCTATCTAGGCGCCAAGCTATACATGGTCTCAATGGATCTATACCTCTAGGTCCAAAGACAGTTTGCTTTTGTGTTGCCTGCACGTTAGCGAAGTCACACCGCTCCCCGTTTTACGCTAACGGAGTTGTTAAACGTGCCACATCACCTTTGTCAAAAGTTCATTCAGATATCTGTGGCCCACTACCTGTGCCTAGCCTTACTTGTCGTTACTTCTCGGTCTTCATCGCTGTTTTTTCTTGATTCATGTTCACTTATGCAATTAGGAACCGTAACGAGTTGTATGACTGCTACGAAGACTTCGGGAAGTAAGCTCTCACTTTTTTCAGACAAGATATGTATGCAATTGCGTACACGCTTAGTGTTAAAGACAATGCAAACCAGGGCAACTTTGAGATTCAGCGGCTTCAAGCAGACAACGCTAAAGCGTACGAGAAGCTTAACCGCATCACATTTAAAAAGTATGGAGCTGACGCGCAGTTTTTTAATGCATACACACCTCAGCAAAATGGAGTTACAGAACGCCGCATGCGTACCATCATGGAGCATGTCCGTGCCCTTCTACTTGACGTCAAGCTACTACCCAAGCCGTTACGGGCCGAGTGTGGTTGTCATGTGACCACTCTCACCAATATGGCGCCTAGCTCCAAGCCGGATGGACGAACCCGTACGAGCTTTAGCCCAACCGTATTCCATCCATGCAGTACATGAAAGTATTAGGATGTAGCGGATATGTCCAAATCACGGAGCAATACCGAGACAAACTCGACGCTAAAGCCCGTTTGTATATGTATCTTGGTGTGCCTGACAATAAGAAAGGCAGCCGTCGGATGGACATCGATACTCATGGAATTATCTACAGTCGTGATTTAGTCTTTAAAGAGGGTAAGTTTTTCTCTCGCACTGGCCTGACGCTTTCCCCAGAGCCACACAGCACACGAATACGCAGCTATTTATCGCTATACCTGGAACTGGTACTACAATAGCACCGGAACCTGAACATGTGTCAGAACCAGTGACAATACCGTCACCCACCTCAGGTCCTGCAATGACAACAGCGTCAGGTACAGTTGTTCAACGTGCACTGCCCTCACTGAAAGAAGCTATTGATCGAACAGCCATACATTATTCTTTTCGAACGGAGACCGACTCTGATCCTCCGCATTATTCGACTCCTAAGCGACCCCGCCTCTCTGCGGAAGCCATTGATAGCTCTAAGGAGGCCAATGACGTAACCCTCAACTCTGCGGAAAACGTACACGAACAGGAGCAACGTCAGCATTTACTATACACATTACTAGCTATTCGGTATGTGTCTGAGCCCACTACGTACCGGGAAGCAATGAAGTCTTCCCACGCTAACCAGTGACATAAAGCAGCTAAATCGGAATACAAGTCCCTCATGGACGATCACACTTGGGTGTTGGTATCCACTCCTAAAGGAAGGATAATTTTAAATAGCCGATGGATCTTTGCTGTGAAGTATACCGGCACTGGCGAAATCGATCGATTTAAAGCGCGACTTGTAATCAAAGGATTCCTTCAGGAATTTGGCATCGACTACAGCGAGATATTCTCTCCTGTCATCAGGATGGAGGTTCTTAGGCTACTTCTTACTATTGGAGCTCTTCTTGACTTTGAAGGTCACCAAATGGATGTCAAGACAGCATTCCTGAATGGCTATTTGGAAGAGGAGATCTACATGGCTCAGCCGGAAGGTTTCAAAATCCCGGGCAAGTGTGTCAACTTCTTAAGAGCTTATACTGCCTGAAGCAAACGCCCCCTGTCTGGCAGCAAATTCCGACTGCCTTCCTTAAGAGTGTTGAGTTCCTGAAATTTATTAAAGATCGATGTGTCTTTCGACGCACAATTGGTGACAGCACCTGCTATATTGCAGTGTACGTCGATGACTTACTGATCATTGCGCCAACACCACCACTCGTCAATGAGCTGAAATCAGCCCTGAAAAAAGCGATTTTACATGTCAGATTTAGAGAAGGTGAAATACTTACTCGGCTGGTCCATTCAGTGTGATCGTAAGAATCAAACGATATTTATCCACCTGCACAAGTACGCTACGAAGGTCGCTGACCGCTTTAGCGACTACATTCCGTACCCTACAGCAACACCACCAGAGCGGAGCGCCAAGCTCTCCGTAAGCAGCCAGTCTAGCAGTGAGCAAGGGAAAGATGCGATGAAATCGATTCCGCATCGCCAAGCCGTAGTCAGTATGATGTATGTAATGGCCGGCACTCGACCCGACATGGCATTTTACATGCTAGAGGTCAGCCAATTCCTAGCGAATCCAGGTATGGATCACTGGAAAGCAGTCATCCGTGGTCTAAAGTATTAATGCGGAACGAAAGAATACGGTCTTCTTCATGAAGGCTCGACCGATATTACCTCGGCAAACCTAGCTGATCCACTGATTGCCTACAGTGACTCTGACTACGCCAACTGCCCCGACACGAGACGCTCAGTTGGAGGATACGTGACAATGCTAACAGGCAGTCCTATCTAATGGCTTTCGCGAAAGCATCATACTGTAGTTCTCTCTACAACAGAGGCAGAATATATCGCCGTATGTCACTGCATACAAGAGATGCTAATCCTCAAACTTCTCCTTAAAGAACTTGGCTTTGCTACAACGCAGGCTAACACAATATACGAGGTTAATCAGAGCTGCATTAAAACCTGCTACAACCCCGAGCTTCACGGACGATCAAAGCATTTATACGATGGATACTGTTTCGTGCAAGAAAAAGTAGAGCGGCATGAATTTAACGACATCTACTGCAGTACGAAAGAATTGATAGCTGACATCTTTACTAAAGCTTTAATCAAGCACCAGCTCAGTGCACTAAGGGTTAAGCTCAGGGTGAAGTCCCTTGAAGCTATACAGTAAGTTATTCCGTATAGTGTACAAGAATAACACTAATGCATAAAGCATGCCTACTTAAATTGCGTTCCTTTAGATTTTTCCCAATGGTTTATCTTTTGTTCGCACTAAGGTTTTCTCCTCGCCGAGATTTCCCTGGTCTCGTACCGAATCATTAAAGACATGTGTCTTTCAACAACCATGCAGACACAATTTGCTGGGAACATTCATTATTTATAAGGCAAGCCCGCGGAAATCCCTACTGACTCATATCCATTTTCTGCTTTTTGAAGGCATTAAAAGTACGAATGCAGGTCACGAAGGTGATCCAATCCATCGCCGATGACACTAACTTGGGATCCTTCAAGTCCAAAACCGCCGGATCTTGTCCTTCTTCCATTGAGCTCTGAGCACTAACGCGTGTCCAGCGATGCTGTGGTTGTACGCAAAAACGAAGTAGATTCTGTTGTGGAGAGGCACTTCCTCCGGTATACGTGATCCATGGCGTCCAGCTATGGTGAAGTTGTCTTTGTTGATGGCCTTGAAGATAAAATCACGGCCAGCATCCCTAAGACTACGAAGGAAGCGAAGGCCTATCTTCCACGAAGTATACCGTGTGAGGTCCACTCCATGCTCTCTGAGTTCATCAGCAGCGAATGTGTCAATAGTATCTTGCGTCACGATGTCCGGTCGCCCAGCAACCTCGGCGGCACGTGTCAATGCAGTGAACATACATAGGCTCGAGCATCAGCACCAATTGCACGCTTGCCGAATTCGTCCTTAGGCCAGAAGTCCTTAAACGTTGTTTCCGCATCGGAAGCCTTCGAGCGATCTACGAGGTCCAACTTCTCAGCGAAATCATCGTCCAGCCATTGTTGACGAGGTTCCCATGTGCGCTGATAGTAGCGTCGACTCACAAGCAGACGGTTGACCCACAACACACGATACTCTGGACCACGAGAAGAATCACGGCGATCGTTGATACGAGCCACGGGATCTTGTTGTAGCTGCATAGTTAGCTAATACAGTCACTTGCTTACTGCTGTAGTACTTGTCGTATATTGGATAATACACTTCATCATCAGATGAGCGTTCGGTGTCAGAAGTGGCTAGAATGGTGGCAGTAGCTGCACGTTCGGTGGCTTACGCCAGTCCGGTGACAGAAGGTATCTGTGCACTAGTAGATCTGAGCTACAGTCTGGTCTGTGGCACTAGAGGTTAAACCCATGTCACTATTGTCCCTCGATACATTGACCTGAGAATAATCTGCCGGGGCGGCAGCAAGATGCTCTGTCGGCCCACTCACCGACGCTCGAGTGCCACTGCGCGAGCTGCACGACGCTACACTGCTCACAGTGGTGGTGTATCAGCAGGATCTACAGTGATCTCGGTCATGGCAGCTCGAGGGCCTCTGAAAGCAGGCCACCAACAGCCTTCTTGGACTTGCTCCCAGCGGCCTTTTCCCTTTTTCCGTTAACCCGGCCCCCGTGGCCTCGCGCCCTCTGGTCACCGAGCACTCTGTATCCATGCTATTCTGGACACCAGGACCTTGGATTTCCTTGTGGGCTGCCGCCCGCTTGCGCTTGCGCTCTCCGGTCTTGGCTGCAGTGCCGAGCTTCCGTTTCTCCAGGCCTTTCGGTGCCGATGATGGCGTGCCTGGCATCGGTGCTGCTAAACGAGCAGTCCTCGAGATCGTTACCACGGCCTGCCTGTGAAGATTGTCTTCCCAGACAGCAAGACGGAATAGGCTAAGTTGGAGCAGCTAACTCGGGGCTTTCTCGGCTGGCGACTGTGAAGACTGAAGCGTTTGCAAAGAGAATCTTCCCAGACCTGTAATAATAAATGCATTCTATGATGTGCTAAAGTATGCAGAGATTCAGGGGGGCTGTCAATGGTTGCACCTTTATACAGTGGCACATTGTACCAACTACCTCTGGAAGCTGAGGATCCGATACAAAAGGTCTCGTTAAAAGCTGTTAGTAAAGATGGAACCATGCTATAGTCAGTGACAGCGTATTTTTCTAAAAAAAACATCTCAAGCCTACTGCAAGGCAGCCTGCTTGCTGTGAGACAGCTCTAATCTACCTCACTTCGTCTTTTGACGCCTACAAGTAACTTCTTATTCTATCTTCATTTTCTCTACCTGCCTACCGAGCTATATTATTAAAGCGATCTGCGAGTCAGTAGTCAAGTTACGATGTGAGACCTATCCGTTCCAGGCTACATTTACTTGGCCCAGGGAACCAAACAAAGGCAATCAACAAACAAAAACGACGAAGTAGCAAGATTTCATGACGTAGCGTGCGATGCTTTGATTAAGAAAGGATTTAATCCAAACACAGTATTCAAAAGCGGACGAACACGCCCGATCTAATTTTACAGTAAACGACTAAGGCGGAGCGCTGTGAAAGCTTGCATTCAATGTGAAGAAGTCACTACATCGTGTCGGGGTCATAGGGCCTGTGGTAAGCGTTTACGCGGAGCATACACGAATGATCGTTGGTGGAAGATAAGACAAAATGGGATAACAATCCTTCTCCAGCCATCGCCATTACCAAATCTACGAAGTAGAGCGGAAGTCGTAACGAGCAACGTGGAAGACGGAGGAGATGGTAATGGATCTGGTAACGCAGCTGGGTTGAAGGAGCCTCCGATCGCCAATCCGTGCATTGTCTATAGAGGACCACCAGATTACACATTTGCATCCATCCCGTACACGAAAACGCGATACGAGAACATAACCGACTACTACTCTCAGGACCACTCTTTCGTCTAACATCTATGTATGACGTATCACAAGCATATGCTGCGCTGAATTCAAGCAATGAAGCTGGTTTAATGTTTACCACGGCTGAAAGTGCAGATGGAAACATCACAAAAGCGCGATGGTTCGACTACTATGGTGATTTGTACAACTACTATCACGTCGTGTCATGCCAATACAACGTGTTTGCGGAAAACTTATTTGCAGAACCGTTGTAGGTATACACGATGTTCGACATCGATGATCAACCGAATACACTTGCGTCCAGCGACGGCATGCCGTTGTGGCCTAAACCCGAATATTATTACCTGGACCGTCGTGCGATTGATATTAGCATTGTGGGTCAGGTTGAGACAGCTGGAGAAGCACCAGATACTATCAATGTGGAGACTGGCAACAGTACCACGCTGTTGGATAACTTCGAAACCAATAACATGATGAGCAATAATGGTAAGAGTAAGTGTGTTATTAGTGGAGAGTACCACGCAGGACAGTATCGTCGTGAAATCCGATTGGACTCGTCAGCTGGAAATTGGACGGCTACGAACACACCTCTCTTCTTCCGGAAAATTTAATGATAAGGGTGGAGCCTACCAACGACGCTGTCGGCACAAACAGCGCTACAATTTCGGCGACGACCTCAAGTACAAGTTTGTCATCAAGTTAAGCTACCTGGTAGAGCGCAAGGAAAAACTAATTGGTCTGCGGTATCCAGTATCACGACAGCCGTTGACAGTTACGATAGCTTCAGACGTGGCGAGTGCGAATTAGCATGGTAGCAACGAGAGCGCTACAGATAAATGAGGGGTCTGCAGTTGCACAGGCGATGCAAAATTCAATGAGACATCGCCGTGGAAGGCAACCAAGTTTTTGGATCAAGTAAGTAATCACGGATGGGAGCAAATGTTACTAAATGCGAGAGGAACATCCTTTTTTAAGAAGATACATACCTCATGATACGGTCCATCTTCATAAGCATCGCGCGTAGTCTCGTTCACCAGAGGTTTGCACCTGGCCAACATGTACAATACTTGCATGCAAATCAAAAGAGACTACACCTGTGTGAAAGGTGAGAGATCAGGAAATGAGCACTCAATTCACTCAGCAGAAGCAATACAAAAGCGAACGCTAGCTCCATTCACTGATATTAAAACAGCACTACGGTAAAAAGAGCTTAGTGACCTTATGACAGGTATAGAAGTATAACTTTTAGCTATGCACGATCGCAAGAAACAGACAATCATCCTCGAAGTGATAATCATGAGTCGATATGTCGACGTCCTCAGTGCAAATCATCTGCACCAACTGAGATAAGAACTGTCGCCATCTTAGGACACAGAGTCTCAGTCAGATAGGCTGCTAATGATGTGTCCTAATTGGTGACATATCATACATGTTAGTGTACAAAGCCTCTTATCCCACAAAATGTGTTTTGTACTCAACCTTGCAAACGTCGATACCATCGCTTTCTACAGGAACGATAAATCAATGGCGCCTACGATCACAGACATTCAATATTCAATCACAGCTCTTTTTTTCTTTCTTACACAGGCCTTCCAACTGCAACATCATAGCTTAACAAGTGTTGCTACCAAAATTACAATGAATCTTCTTGAATAAATTTAATCTCCCTCACTACGAACAAGCAATTTTGTCCACAGCAAAATTTCTTTCTACCGCAGTGCCGTTAACGTTTTTAGCCATCTTGGAACAGAGGTGCTTCCCACCCCTCTTCACTTTTGACGGTAGATAAGGCGTCAAATTCTGACTTTAATCCATTTGCTTGAGCCAAAACAAGAAGACTTTTATAATTCGCTTCCTAGACACTCCTACACGCCATGTTGATCCTCTCAGCTTTTGCTGGCGCTTTTTTTACGTTTTATAACACAAGAAAGTACTTCAGATACAGAAACCCAAACGTTTGTATTCGCGGTCAGGGCATTACCTCGACATTAACGTGAAATGTGAGTATAGCTTTTAAGTTATTCTACAGTAGACTCATTAGCAAATGACAGCAACTTTGATGACTACGCTATCGCGTCAACTAAAGCTGATTGCGATAAATGTTTTTTTTTTTTTTTTTATACCCATTTTTTTGGCGATCCTTCATGTCAATTGAATCATAAGAAGCAATGAGTTCACAATTACGCAGCATAAGCTGCTAGTATAATTTGTGATTGGGCTGGTTCCGTTGGGCTAAGTTCCTCGACTAGGCTCTGAATTGTATACCTGGATTACGAAATTACTTCACTAGCGCAATCGCTGTCAAGCTCCACTCCGTATGTGTGATTACGAGCACGATCTCCTCTCACCACACTGCATTGTCACAATAGTACTTTGGTTTAAGAAAAGGCGGGCGGCTTTATTAAGGAGTTTTGCCCGCGAAACCAAAAATACAAGCTGCCCGGCCACAATAATGTCTATGGCGTGCAAAATGGTAACGTTATATTTTTGTGTGTAGCGTATGTTACCCTTTTTCCGTGAACACTCCTGGACACAATTATATGGCCACCTCGTCGAGTGCCCATACCATAAAATATCCGACCTCCAACCTGTGCCAATACTTTGATACATCAAACAAAAAAGTCAACAGACTTTATTTTTGACAGTTACGGTAATCAATGTGTTTGGATGTGCAAGGATGCTAAAGCGTGATTTAGTAATTCAAAAGAGAGCGTGTTGTGTCAAGTTTATAGGCGACTCAGTATCGCCTGTAGGGTGAGAAAAACGCAAAAAAAAATCCTGCAAACTTTACTCGAGGCCATGTGCTCTCGAGCCAGTAAATGGGAAAATGAAGCCAAAAGTGGTGGTGATCCGGACAATCAGACGCTGTCCGAATACTCGAGGATAGTGACAGCCAGCCATCGATAAAGGAGCATGATTGGGCAAGCACCGTCCAATAACAAGTCACCATTTGACTTCATACATACAAACAACCAGACTTCCAGCCGCAGACAGCCAACCAGTG